ATCCCGGAAAGGAAGTGATCAACGGCGAAATCCTTTCCCTTTTTTATCCTTTAACTCGGCGATTCATACTAAACATAGGTTTCCATTGTTGTCTGGTGGAAATGCCCCAATATCCCTTTGTCCTGATTTCGTAGTTCTACGTTCCCAGCTCTTCTCTTTTTCTCAATGGGGTGATGAAAGTGCCGTGCTAATCGTGTTCCGGACATTATGATGAAACCCGTTTTTGATACGGGAATTAGGTAAGCTGTCGTCCCGATAGCACAAGGTCGTAGTCTACGTTGCATGCACTTTGTTGCAGTTTTGATTCATGCTAGGGACCTAGAATTTCAAAATGTAAAATTAGCGGGGAAAATAGCGGAACGTGAGCGAGATCTGGTGCAAAGCGTAGGACTAGTGCTCTGATGAACCACGGCTTAACCTCTTACATAAGTGTAGGGGTTCACAGCTTAGAAGTCCGTGGAACGCTTGATACTATTATAATATAGTAATATGATAGTTTTTTGGGACAACCACCGTTTTTGGCTCGCTATCTTTGAGATGCGCCATGCACTCGACCTTCAATCAGACCGTGGTGGTCTTTGAATACGTGCGCAGACACAGTGTACTGTTGTCAGCATCCGATATCGAAGTTGGTGTGATTATGTTTGTTCTCCTAGACCAGCTTGGTACTAGTCCGTGGCCCCGCAGCGGTGAAGAGCGGATTACCGAGGGGAACGATTCCCTGGGGTTATGGATGAGCTTGTGCTGTTCCATGCCACATCTTTGCCGGTGTCCTTGGCATTATAAAGAATCAGTGCCAGTAAAGGTATAATGACATGTGGAATGAGGTCGTAAGGATCATAACGCTTTGTTGGCGCGCAGCTGCTATAATGAATACTACAGGGTTACCACTAATGGCGTGAGTGTCTAATATTGTTGTATAACTACGGCGTAACGTTGGCCTACACCCGTACCAAAACCACTACGACATCAACACACCTCAACAGAAGTACTCCTACAGGAGAGTGCGACTGGTAAATGAGGCCTTCCCAGCCAGTGTTCCTAAGTGTTCCTAAGTTCTTCTCGCAGTATTCACCCTTTGTCGCTCCACTTTTCAATATTCTGGTAAGATTCTATTGAAAATTCTTCCACGATACAACGAGTTTATGAGTCTACGTAAGGAGTCTGGCCACACATTACTTACATTCACTAATCACTGTGAGCCGTTCCGAGGGAGAAGATTTGGCGAGGTTACTTGAGCGGCGGCGGCCACAAGAATGTTTCGAAACAGGCAAAATTTTCGAGAAACCACCAAAAACACACACACACTCCTTCTCTCAGTAGTTCTTCAACACACCCCCCCCCCCCCCGTCCCTTTCCTAGACATGGTTATCCCCATAAACTGGTGTGAAGACGGCTTCCGTGCGAACCTATAAAATATGTGGATGGTATCTTGCCACCAGTGACGCAGTCCACCAAGCTACTGTTCTCGCTTAAAGGAAGCTGACCTTTGTTCAGCGGGTCGCAGACACAGACAAGGAAAAGTTGCCAGCCCAGATCTGCTCACAAGGGAAATTTCGGGTCAATATCTTGATCTTCAATACTGCAAAGTTTGGGCTAGTGACTCGTAACATAGTGCCGCCCATTTCCCTAATGAAAAGTAAGAACACACACTCAACTTATGGGAACACAGAGCCATACAAACAGAGGTAACCCGAGCAGGAGTTCATGTGTCAATGTTGGGGTGAATCCTTATTTGGAGCCATAATTCTCATTAGTAAAAGAGCCGTACACGATATCTTGTCGACTCAGCTGGCCTAGACATGCATAACACACCAGTCTCAACGGCGAGTCCTTGCTGGTCTGTGGGCGGCGACAGTCAACCGTCATGCCTTGGCGCACCCCTCAGCTTCTGTTTTGGAAAGGGAGCGCATCAACGAAGAGGTATAACAGTTGACTGTCTCCGCCCTTGGGTTAATTGTGGATTGGGAGTCTAAGGTAGCTTTTCAATGTATCAGTGCAGAGAAAAGGTGCTTTCTACTCGAAGGCGGTGATCACGATAACAGTAAGCGGGTGGTTACTGCCAGTGTCATAGTGGAAGAGCTGAACGGGGTGTGGCCAAATGCCATCCTTGCAGCCCTTCCACGGATGACGTTGGCGGTAATCGCCCGTCCCTAGCCATCGTGCCCACTGCCTTTCATGGTAACTTTGTGAATCGTTGTAATGTGATTTGAATTACTGTTTTAGATTTTCACCAAACGGCCCCGTATGTCATTACGTCTAGTGTGGATCTGACGTGCAAGGTATGGGAATGTCGGTGAGATGTGACGTCGTTGGCAATCTGACGATCTTCTGACAAACTTTACCGGCTTCGCTTTTTGTGGCTCTTTCCAGTGCTCCCAAATCAAATACGGCTATGGTAAGATATACTTGGGAATAATAATTGTTAACGATAAGGCCAAGAACCTGCAGTTGAACGGGGAAACATTCGTAGAATTTTCGGTCTGAGAATCATCTAAAGCTTGCAATGCTGGTGTTCCTCGTTCAGTTCAAGGTGATTCGGTCGCGATCGTCATACTATGGTGAAGAGACGTATTCACCAGCTTTTGTGTGACCTCTCATCTCTTCCGTGTTTCTGCTGTCTCGTATATCTCGTCGCATCGTTGAAATACACATACACATCTATACTCCAAATCCCGGAGATAGGGTGGGCGTGGCCGTGGACCTCATTTAAACATGCTAGCTGTCTCGCTTTTTGTAGAAGATTACCGTTTCGGGAGAAGTGTGCTCATGCTTTATCTAGTACAAGGCAGAACGACAGTTTTCACATAGAAACACCCTACGAAAAACGCATCATACGCCAATGATGTAGGCAGCCACGCCCTTCCATAATCGGGAAATGGAGCGTATTCACGTAGGGTATTATGCATGTGTTATCATTATGTGTTCTCCTGTGTATATCCTTGATTATTTTTATAACTTTTACACTGTGCTTTCGTGTATGCACTGTACTCTTTCTTGTGACTCTTCCACAGCTCTCCAAAAATAGCAAAATCTTTTGTGTTAGCAGTACTGCTATAACCGGAGTGTAGTTTTGGAGATCCGATGTGCAGCATCACACATGAACCAGCTTTTCTAGCTAGTTGACTCGACACAGCATTTTGGCGTCGAATTAATCAATCATGGCAGCTTACGTCCAATACCTTTTATCTTACGGCCTTATCTTTGAAAATACGAAGTTGAGGAAATGCTTGGTGCCATTGTAATTGATGAAGAATACGTGCCGGCGCGAAGTGATCCTTTTTCTCAGGCTCGTGGCGGACTCTACCGTGCCATCGCCTCATACTGGAGTGTAGAAGACCAGAGTCAGCGCGCGACATCGAAGCGAGGGGACGCGGTGGAGCGGACTCTACTGTGCCATCGTCTAGCCCCACTAAACTACAGTAGCACTGTTGGCTTCCGTCAGGCTGGATTTTGAGAATCACTGGATGATGCAGTGCCATTTAAAGCGCTTGGAATATCGGCCATTTCGCCTTTGGCCTGTCAGCAGGGTGGGTTGGCGCGGCGCGTTCTCATGCATCAACTGCCTGTAGGCGAGGAAGGCAACCAGATGTCTTTCATGTCAGTCGTTGTGCACTAACTGCTGTCGCCTACACGCTTCAACAACTGGTGGAGATTGGGTTTGGCGCCGCGCTCGACACGCCCCTTCATCCCTTTAGCGAGCGAGATATAGCTAATTTGGTGTGGTAATGACCCTCAGAACTTGGAACAAAAAAAGCAATTTGTCGATTGTCGCATTTTCGAGGTAAAAGCTGTCGTGACCTAATTGATCGGGCGCCAAGGTGCCGTGTCGAATCTAGCAATACTGGCTGCTTTGTGAGTGATGTCGCGACTCGGATTTCCTGAACCACCTCTACATCTGGCAGCTCTGCGCAAATGCATGCTTGTGCGATAAGTGTCGATTAGTCGTAGAATGTGTTCGTACGCCAGAAACGGTGATATTGTCCCTTACCATTGATCGCGGTGTTGTGACGTGGTGACGAGGTGTTTTTATTGATTGAACATGCTTTTACGCTCTTCGGAAAACGCGAGATGTGGAAATTCTGAATAATCGGAGTACTGTTGCGTCGGAAACACACAACCATAGAAACCCTGTGTGCACTCTTCATGTCAGTGATTATGCCAATTTGTGTAAATTGGCATAATTTCTGGAATGAGGGAGTATTTGCGTACATAAATATAAGACTGTAATGATGTGATCATTGGTTTCTTTTTTCCTTTCTTTTCGTTTTTTTTTCAACTTTTCAACCTGCTAGAAGGTGTCTAACATTTCCGGTTAAGCTATATATCCCAAATAGGCGTTGTCTTCACGTGGTTTAGTGACTTTTTGTGTTTCTCTTTATTTATCCTATTTTTTCTTCTCTTTTCTATTAATCATCATTATCATTTCTGTTGTATCAATCATGCGCTAATGAAATTGTGGTGTTGTTGTCGATAAGCTAGCTTTTTTATGATTTTTAATCGTAGAAAATTTAATGATAAACGGCAAAGCGTTACAAGATCTTCTGCTGTGGAAGTCGTGCGCGTATCGGAACTTTCACGAAATTAGACCGTAATTGCGTACAATGGTGTAGAAATTTCCCACAGCGCACCGATAATTCTGTAAAATTAGCCTATCTTATATATCATCGTGTCTAATGTTGCTGTACTCGAACAGGAAAATTATTGATTGATCGATCCATTGAGCGAAAATTCCCGTTTCCGATACTTTATTGATTGATGTGATAGTTGACGATGTAAGCTTTCAGGCTATTTTAGCTTGTTCTTTTCAATAAATCTATGCTTTTATTTTCGTGTGTTTGGTTTTGGGGTGGGCGGTCGGTTCAAAGAGCACATGAATAGGAATTATGTATGCTTGGCGTGAATATTCAAAGAATGCCCTAGGCAACCGGCATCCGGAAAAGGTGGCGAATGTTACTCGCCTTGACTTTTTGGTCTCAGGTGCCTCAAGTTCATCTACATTCGCTTCCATTGGGTCGCTGTTGTGGCGCTTCCCTTATAAGGCCCCTTATCAGATATCAGTTGATATAGTTTCTTCCCAGCAATCATGTACCACTTCTCATCCCCTTTATCACATCATTTTGAACTTTCTATGGGTAAGACAACGTTCATACTTAGCGATCTCATCGCCGCGCATATCGCGCTACCATTGCAATGGCGTTCCAATACAGATGAATATCGACTGGTGCCGGCCACTAATGTTTTTAGGGAGTATATGGTAGCAGGAGGGTGAGATCTACCTAAGGCATTGTTCACAGCCTATGACCCTGCGTTTCTCTCGAAAGAAACGCTTCGGCGAAAGGCTTTAAATACGTATCGTTTACGGTTCGGCGAATTGCGGTTACGTAGTACGTATCGACCGGTGGCTCGGCGAAAC